GAAGATCAGATATGGACAAATGTTGATTTAAAAAAAAAAAAAAAAGCAAAAAAACCCAAAAAAACCCAACACCCACCTAAAACAATGCTTCAGTCTACTACCTGTTCTATGAGAGAGAGAAAGTTGAGTTCAGGTTCCCAGAAGGTAAAAAAATTGATTCTGACTTGAATTTACAGCCATAGAGGTGAAACTCTGTCCCTCGGGAGCCCTGGAGAGGGTTATCCTGTGCCCAGGGACTCCACTGCATTGTTGCCCGCTCTCCCTCTCCTAGGCAGGCGATCGTTTTAACATGGGGGGATCTTCAACGGAGGAAGGGAGAAAATCTGGGCTTGATTCTGATCTCGGGTTTGTTGTTTTGAGAAGTACCATCAAGTCCAGTTGGCCTCAACTGGCGGTCATACAACCGAGATGAAGGTTCACCCAACGGGGACAGCGTTGGGCAATGGCAGATGTTAGGGGACTGAGGCTTCCAGGGAAGGAGCTCCTGTGATGAAGTGTTTTGAGTCAAAAATGAGACTAAATATATTTTTTTTTCCCCAAAAACTGCTTTTTTGGGGAGTTTTCCATACCTTCCAGCGCTTGGAAGACTAGAGCGATAGCTGGTAGCTAGGGCGAGCAGTTGTCACTCGGGATATCCGCGTTTCTCTTCCAACTCCAAGGCAGAGTTGCTGTTGGCTGAACTGGGTGAGTCCTCTCCTCTTCGGATCTGGAGATAACACCGCTCACCTGCTTTTGCAAAGCAGTTTCGGGCAATGCAAAGGATGCTGCAGAGGTGCAGGGCACCGTGCCACCTTCTAAAGAAGGACATTGGGGACGGAAATGGTGACATATGGCATTTTAACCTTGCCAAAATACATTGGACTTGGCTTTTGGAGTGGCAAAGTGAAAATACGATAGCTGAAATAAATAGTATTTGTCCTCTTAAGCAGGGTAAGGCAGCATGTGAGGTTGTGTGGGGGTTTTTTATTGTCATTATTTTTTATTCACAGTTCCTTGAGCTGATTCTGGGAATTGTACTGACTGTGGTTATGTTTCTGGAAACGTGCAGGTTGGCCAGATGCAGTGGGGCATGGAGTGAACAGAAAGAGGTTAAATTGATGGATGACCAACAAGAGCAGGATTGTGCCTCAGAAGACCAAGAAACTATCCTGATTAATGGGGTGAAAGAAAATGGTAAGGAACTTAATTACAGTACATGAGGGAGCAGTGACAACTTGCAAGCCAACTTATTTTCCTAATTCCTTTCGTGTATTTAATTTTAGCAGTTTGCAGGGATGGCTGCAGTGTGGAGCAGTAGGGTAACTGGGTGTTTTCTGCACAGGTGTCACTCCAGCTATGAATCTACACCTTCTTAGGGCTTAACAAGTACTGCTTTTGCCCATGCATATGCATGGTTGGAAATGTTGATGTGCACATGCAGTTTGAATCACAGATTTTAGTTTGGTTTCTCAGGGAAAAAAGTCATACGAGACTATGTAGCTCCTCTGTTGAGAGTCTTTCCCTCTCTTCGGAAATTCTTATGAACCACTAGCCAATCTTGGGAAGATTTGACTGAAGGATACTTAGTCCCTACAAACTGGGGAAAAATTGGAGATTAGAGATTCCACCCATGGAAAGGGAAGATTGAACTTGTGAGCTTGTCGTTGCCTTTTCTGTGTGGCCCGTCAGCCATCCCATGGGATCCCCCAGCCCTTAGCCCCGCTGCTGTGCAGGTGGAGATGCAGCCACGCTCTGGGAGCCACCACGTCACTCCAGCTTCCGTCGGCAGCGCTGGGGAAGGATCAACCTCCTCCAGCAGCCTGACGAAAATCCCCAGCTCTGGCTGTATTTAATTGATTCCATACTTGCTTTCAGAAGCAGTAGCTAATTAGGAATAACGGTGCTCTGCTGCCTGAAAACCTGATTGAAATAAATACGCCTCTGAGGATCTTCTGAAGTCATTTGGACTTTGGTCGCTGGCCACAGTGAATGCGGTGGCAGTCCAGCATTGAGGCAAAGCTTGATGTTTTCATTCTTCACTATGTTTTTGTGTTTAATTTAATGGCTTTTTACATTTTTATTGGCCTATAAATCTTGAGAGAGAGATATTTATTTATGGATTAATTCGACCCCACGTGATATCAAGGACTTGGTCCTCTGACATCTTAAATGTTCCAATCCTTCTGTCTTCTCAAAACAGGGCGCACAGAGGCAAATGTTGTTCTTGTTCATTACCAAAAACCTGGAGCAGCTCCAGACGCGCGGATGTCCGTGAGGACCCCGCAACATCTGCTGGCAGCAGGTGAAGTGTGCGCTTGCGCTCGCCCCTCCGATGTCATTGTGGAGGAGTCTGTCTCTGTCAGCCCATCTCCTTCATGACAACCCGTGGTGGAGCCACAGCTGCCGGAGCTGCACGGAGACGTTCCACCGTCCCCCACCGCACCGCCACTCAAATCAGCCCTTAGCCGCTCAGTAAAGATGCGCAATTTCTAGAACCTGACGCCGCTTCCTTGAAATTCAATTAAACAGGGCTCAAAAGCGCTTTAATGAACCATCGTTGTGGAGGAGTTGCTGCTGAATCCAAAGCAACAAGCCGGCAAGTAGCTCCGGTGCCACCAGCTCCCCGTTGATAGCCCTGGGGACGGGGCTGGTGGGTTTCGCCTCCTCTCACCCCAACTATGAAGGTGTGCTGGCTGCCGGGAATGCGGAGCCACCCTCGGGTGCCTGCCGAGGGGCTGGCCTTCCTTCGGAGCTCCTTCCCAGCAGGATGGGTCGGGATTTTTCCGCTCAGGCTGCCCGTGTGCTGTTGGTTGGCTGTTGAGTTAAACCGGGAAAGGTGGTTTTGCTTCTTTTTTAACTGTAGTCTTTTGGAGTCTTCTTTACTTCAGAGCAGCAATTGAACGTGCGCCTGATTTTAGGATGATACAAACCCTAGAAAATCAGGTTTTGGCATTTGTATTTCACAGGAGTGAAGTTCACTTACACAAGTATAAAGCTAGAGAAACACCCAGAAACGGTTTATTTGCTGTAATAGCTTCTCTGCGTGCTGAATGCAGCATTTGAGACTGAATTGCAGCTTTCTTCCTCCCCCTTTTTTGAGTCTTACAGCATTGACAGACATTCTCCTTTCATCCTCAAATTCTTCATGCTCCCTGTCAGCTCCAAGCTGATTTTTATTTTCCTTCTGAAGTGGAACTGCACTGGTTAATTTGTTTTGGTGCTTAAGGAAAAAGATCCCACCTCTGCATTTCTGATCTAAAAAAAAAAAACCTGGTGGGAGGGACTCAAAAATCAGCTTTTTTATTTGGGTTGGTTTTTTTTCTTTTTAACCCTTTTTGAGGGAAAGGAGGCAGCACACAGATTCCAAGCAAGTCAGTCTGGTCTTCTCCAAGCCACGCATGTTGAAGACGCGTTGCATTGCACTTCTGCTTCGATTTGTACAGTGTTTGGAAAGTCGTTCAAAGTCCATAGAGCACTGCGTGGCTTCAGACTTTATCAATGGCTCCATCCCTAAGGCCCCCAGTAGCACAAAAGTGCTGGGAGCTTTTGGGATGAGCTTTGGAGGATTTTTGAGCTCTTCTCGGTTTTACACTTGCTGGGGGCAGGCAGCCCTCCATCCCATCCCATCCCATCCCACTCCTTTTCCTATGGTTGGTGTAGATGCAGGGGGAGGTTTGCTTTTCTATCAGTTTTATATACAAACACATGTCACGGAGGGTCCCAGCAACCGTGTAGGTGCCAAATCCCTTCAGGTGCCCCATTTCTCGCAACAGCTTGGTGCTCCAGTTGTGTTTTAAAGCACTTATCCCCCCTCAGAAAGCCTGAGCTGCTGTCACTCTCGCTGTCCCAGCCTTTGGTGGAGCCACCAAACAGGTAAGACGGGAGCCGCTGCAAGGGCACGGGTCGGCAGAGGTCTGCGGCTGGCAGGAGTGAACACGCTGGTGTATATATTTTGAATACAGAGATATCAAAGTGTGTTTGTGGATGAAAAGACATCGTATTTAAATTTCAAGGGTCACACCGTCTGCTGAGCCAGAAGTCAGATAAAAGCATATTCCTAACTGTATTCTGCCATGAAAGAGCGCGACAAGATAAAAATAAAAAATCCTTAGGTTAAAAAAAAAAATCTTTAGATCATTAAAAAGGCATGCCAAAAGAATGGCAAAACCCACAATAATTCTAACAATAATTGCTTTAAACTCTGCGTTGCCTTCTGCTTTCCCTCGGTTTTTAAGAACAGCCACACCTTGCAGTAGTGCAGTCCAGGTATGTTGAAGCTGCAGACACTGCAGGGGGTGATGCTTTGTTGCTTTAAGAATCTTATTTTTTCCATTAATTTTTTCAGTGTTAATGGGAACATTTTTATTAGGCTTGTTGTGGTTTTTTTAATAGCCTTGTCAGATTCGAAAGGCAGTATCCAGGTAACGGTATGGATATGAGGAGGAAAGAACGGATGGTTTTTGGGTTCTTCAACATGCTCTTGTACCTCTTCCAGCTGGCTGCCAGGGGGAGAGTGCTCACCTCTCCCTTCCTTACACATCACCGCGCTCATTACATCCAGAAGGGAAGGATCACGCTCTCGCGGGAAGGGCGTCTGGCTCTTCCCAAAGGAGCAGTTGGGAAAAGTCATCGCCAAACCCTGGGGAGAAGGGGAGCGGGGTGGCGAGTCCCCGCAGAACTGCCAGCGTTGTAAACCCTCTTTCTCTTTCTTTTCCCCTTCCCTTTTCCTTCCCCACCTCCAGAACCGCACGCCCTGGACGGCGATGAGAGACCTTGCACCGCCACCGAGGCCGCGGTCCCATTCTCAGCCCTGAAGGAAAACCCCGCGTGCCACCGGGCGCTGCCTCCCCTGACGTCCAAGAAGCCCTGCTTGCTGAGCCCGCCGTCGCCGCTGCGGCTCACCGATGTCCCCGAGCACGCCTCGGACGACTCCTCCGCCCACGCCATCTCCCTCACCTCCTGCGTGACGAAGGGCATGAGCTCCTGGTCGCTGCCGGGTGACTGCGAGAAGGCGCCGTTCACCATGATGGAGCCCGGAGGCATGTCGGCGTTGACAGGCGATTGCTTGATGCAGCCGAGCCGGACCTGTCTGGGCTGTTTTATTGAATCAAAGGACGGCATTGATGCAGAGCCGGGAATAAGCTTGAAAGTGGGGGATATAAATAGGGATTATGACACCTGTTCGGTCTCTGATATAGGGATTCACTGCATGAGCACAGGAGAAACCATGAGATATGGGGATCAACTGCTTTCAGACCAGCTTTTAAGCTTCCCTATGCATAAATCGAGGGCAGCGGACAAAAGAGATGCAGAAAAATCTGACAGTGATTCAGAGGACCCCACTCAGAAAAATTATTACGAGGGATTACTGTTAGACAAATGCAATGGTGAGGAACCTTTACTAACAAATCCCAACCAGGAATGGGGCTATTTTGAATCTTTCATTAGCGAAAGTAAAATTGAGCTGCTTGACCTCTGCTCCAAAAATGAGCTTTCTGTAAATCTGTTTTCCGAGGAAGACGTGGATAATTACATGTTTGATGATGACGATTCCACCTTGGGAAGCGATGTCTGCTCCCTAAAGATTAGATACGAATCCTTCCAGGACAACGTGCGGGAGAAGACCACCACCCTACAAGAGGACGCCCAGTTCAACTTCTTCCCCAGCGTGTTCAGCAACTGCACCAAAAGGGACAGCAGGAGCACCCTGAAAAGGGGGCCCAGCGGTGCCACCGACCCTTCCCAATTCAAATCCGAGGAAGGCATCATCTGGGGGGAGGAGGAGGAGGATGGCGAGGAAGAGGACGGCGAGGAGGAGGAAAAAGCTGCCTTAAATAAATCTTGCAACAGCACGGAGATGGTGCAGTATGTGGGCTCCAAGAGGAGCCACTTCTTGGACTCGGTGAATTCCACGGAGGACTCCGGGGAGTTCAGCGATGACAGCACTTGCACAGAGTCCTCCTACGACGTGCTGCGGGATATCAAGGACTGCAGCCGGTACCTGTCCCGGGACCACTCCAGCTCCTTCATTCAGCAGAACTATGGGTTGCGGGCGAAGAGGAAAGTGCGATACAGCGATGACTACCTGTACGACGTGGACTCCATCGAGAACGAGAAGATCCTGGACAAGAAGGAGTGGCTACCGGATGGACCCAAGGAAGAGGACGATGACGAGTGGTGCCCCAAGAAACGGCGAAAAGTCTCTCGCAAGGAGCCCCCCATTATCATCAAGTACATCATCATTAACAGGTTTAAAGGGGAGAAGCATATGCTGGTGAAGCTCAGCAAAGTGGATGCCAACGAGACAACTGTTACCCTAAACGAGGAGCTGCTCAGCAAGTACGAGAAGCTGGCCCCACTGAAGGGCTTCTGGCAAGAGAGGCAGCAGAGCCGGCTGGATTTGCTCAGATCGTCTCTCTACCACAAGCAGAATTTCTATCTTAACGGCTCAGATGCTTCGTTCCTCCCTCACCCACGGAAGCGAAAATGCAAGCTAGCAAACAGGCACCGGATTCAAAGAATTAAAGCCATCGAGCAATCAGTGAACAAGCTGGGCTCTTGCTCCTCGGATCACAAGCAGCCTTGCAGCAGTAAAGAGGAGACGGGCCTGAAAGGGCTGCCGGCGTTAGCCATCGCCACCCCCAGCTGTGCCAACGGATTACACGTCAATGACATCGCGGGCATCGCTGCCGTGAAATGCAAATCGCAGGAACGGGAGCACAAGGGGACGGAGAGGAAAGTGCTCCGCAGAATCAAATTCAAAAGCGAAGCCAGGTTGAAGTGCAAGAAGATTAAAGCTGCTACCAGTACAGCGGAGGGTTCCCCGGCACTGGAAAACCGGGACTCTGCAGCGCGTCTGAAGGACGAAAACGTTCCTTGTGCTTCAGACAGCTCCCATCTCCCGGAGCGCCACGAGGATAAGGTTGCTAAAAATTCTCCTTTCCTACCATCCCCCCCCTCTTCAGACAAGCCTCTGCCATCTGCTAATATCACCACTAATGTCCCCCTGATCCCCGGAGGGTATCTGCAGACGTTGTTAGATGCTTCTGATTTGTCGAGCAACACCGGTATCTCCTACTTCGCCCAGCATCCCTCCGAGCAGCAGCAGCACCCGCTCCCCAGCATCGTCCCGGCAGAAAAACCCTTTGCGGCTCTGCAGCCGGCGCAGAGCTGCGTGCTCTCCCCACCCTCCGAATCGGAGCTCCAGCAGTCGCCCGGTCACTTGGAGATGGAGCAGAGCAGTTTCGGTAGCATGTGGCCGGCCGGCAAAGCTGCCAGCAGCACCCGCCAGGACTTCCCTGGCGACATGCGGGAAGCTGCCGGGCTGCCGAATGAATTTGGTGGGGGCGGGGGCGCGGATGCAGACGGCCTCCCGACCTCTGGATACACTCAAGTCAATCTGAATAGCAGCAAATTGCTCTACCAAAAAAATTACATGCCGGATAGCCAACAAGTGCAGTCTGATGATTCTTATCAGTCATGTCATTTTAATAATGGAGAGGGGCGCTTTCATTTCCAGCGCGGTACACTAAGTACAGATGATGGCAGGCTCATTAGTTTTGATTCAGTGGGTTCATTGTCAGTTAGTTCGAGCAATTACAGTTCTTTAAGTTTAAAGTCTTGCGAAAAGGACGGCGAGGATGATATTAATGATGATTTCTTGGCCCACTGCAGTCCCAAGCTAGTGATCCAGCAGAGCATAGATGAAATCACCCCTTTGAAGGAGTCCACGGACCTTTTAGACATTTCCAACTTTACGCCTGATAAATTCCGCCAGTCGTCGCTTTCGGAGATGTCCCCTCCGGACACTCCCAACTTGTCCCCGCAGATAGCTGGCTCCGACGCCAAGCCCCTGGGCACCCTGAAAGGTTTTCAGGAGAGCCCCCAGGCTGCCCTCAACAGCTCCGAGAAGGTCAAGTGGAACTGCGGGGTCCTGCAGACCGAGGATCAGGCGGATAATGGGTTTGCTTTAAATAATCACCAGTTCCAGTTCCATATGTTCAACGATGAAGATTCTGTCAGCCTTCTCGAAAAGAGTCCATGCTTGTCAACATTTAATGAGCCATCTGGTCAAATTAGCACCAATAGCAAAGTGTCAAAATCAAAGAGGAAAAGTTCATCCAACAAGAATGTGGGTACAAACCAAAGCTCTTCCCAGAAAGCCACCCGGAAAAAATCACCCAAAACCAACAAAGGAACCGATAAACCGCAAGGGAAAAACTCCCGGCAGCCACCCAAATCCGCCAGGAAAGGGAAAAACGCGCCGGGAGTCAACGGTGAGAAGGCTCCGGCCGTTGGTGGCAGGGTGGTCAACCAGCTGAGCACCGTGGCCACCGCCACCAAGGGCCTCACCGAGAGCACTCAGCATTGCGGCCCGGCCGGGGTGAAACTGGGCAAGCACAACGGGCTCTCCGGAGAGTGGGCGCTGGGGAAAGAAGGGGGCACGGGCTGGTCAGAAACCAGCCTCGGCAATGCCACCAGCCTCCTGGACGACGATCAGAGGGAGTTTGAGGAACCTTCCAACATCTTGTCCAACATCGCGTCGGGGATGGCGGATGTCCAGAGGTTCATGATGGCCTCCATCGAGCCCTTGTGGGGGCCTGTTGGCCACAACAACGTTTCAGACATATTCCGGTCGCCAGAGTCCAACAGCCTGAAACTGAAAACTCTTAAAATTTTGGCAGGGACTTCCCAAGAGTCAAAGAAAAAGGTGAACGGCGGCTCGCCGGGGGCAGCGAAGAACCACAAGTCGAACAACAAGGGCTCAAACAAAAACGGCAAAGCTGCAACTTGCGACCCTGGGCGCCCCAATTGCTCAACCGGGTTCACCACGGACATTCACGCCCCCTTTTTTGATAAAAACTATAGTAACCTGAGCACTTTAGGCAATAACGGACCTACCCATAAAAAACTCTACCGTCATAAATCCAGTTCGAAATCGCTGAGGGATGAGAACTGTAAAATCAAGCGAACGGACCGCGAACAGCCCCACAAGGACCCACCCGTGACAGCGGCTTTTGAGAAACTGAGGTAATGCTGCACCAAACTGGCTGGAATGATGCCCCTTAACCTCCCTCCCACCTGCTAAGCCCGCTGTTCCTTCAGTTTTTCCTTCCTGAAAGCAAAAGTTGCATGAAAAAAAAAAAAAAGACGTTCCCCTATTTTACAGTTTTGGTTGGTTTTGGTTTTGGGGTTGGTTTTTTGTTTGGTTGTTTGGGTTTTGATTTTTTGTTGTTTTTTTTAATTGCATGAAAATACTTATTACTTGCAAGCTACCTAAAAGAATGACCAATTTTCTGGCTTGGCTGGGGTTAAAAAAACTAACAAAGCTACTCTTTTCTGCTGTTTGGCTTCTTCAGGTTTTAATTACTTATTTATTGGGGGTAAAAAAAAAAAAAAACAAACCAAAACCATGGTTACACGCTCTTTTTAATGATTTTGACAAGGAAAGACTTTTTTTTTTTTTTCCGGAACATTTTTTAAAAAATTAACCCAAAAAAAAAAAAAAAAAAAGAGGTTATGCATCCAAAAGCCAAGATCTCGAAACTTAAAGGCTCTTTTACTTTGCAAATATGAGAACTCATTCCTAATTGAGCTTCACGTGGCAATTTTGAGTGCTTTCTGGCCCCCTCTGCTGTTTTTTCTCCTAACCTGCATCATCTCAAGCTGCATCTTCTGTACCCGCCCGCCTTTAGCGCGTCCGCTCCGTCGTGGTGACTCCAGACGAGCTAGCTAAGATGGCATCAAATGTTTGATATTTTTTTCCTGCAGGGAATCAGACTCCATTCTTCTTAAAGCAGAAACAACATTTTTGGGTTTTCCTGTATTTGAAGAAGAGACTCCCTTTTCTAGAAAGACGGTTGATGTTTGTTTCTTTATTTTTTTCTCTTTTTTTTTTTTTTTTTGGTTGTTTTTCAGTTGGGGTATTTTTTCCCGTCGGTTCCTTTTTCGAAATCTGCCTTGTGGTATGTTGAAATGTAAGTGCTGAAATGAAGAGTTTGAAATTGTGGGAATTTTATTATTTGAAAGCAAAAGGTAATCTGGTATTCTCTGTGAAAAGACTGTTTTAAAAGTCATACTGTTGTACAGTAGTTTATGCACTATTACCCACACCAACAAAAAAATTGTGCCAAACTATGAACAAGTGACTGTATTGTATATATTTTTACTTCTCTATCAACATTGGGTTGTGAGTGTTTTCTGCAGCTATGCCTTTTGGTTTTACTAGAAACATTCCAGTTGTTAAGTACTAACCACCCCCCTTCGAAAGCACCTGTAACTCACGACGAAAACAATTATCGTTCACTTATACAACTTACCAAAAGTTTTATGGACATGACTAAAAGTGTGCCAAATTTACTTACCTCATTTCATGGATTCACCCTGTGGTTTAAAGCTCATAAAGGGAAAAAAGAAAAAAAAAAAAAAAAAGGAAAAAAAAGGGAAAAAAGGGGGGAAAAAAAAAAAAAAGAAAAAAGGAACTTTGAAACCGATGCTGGGAAATGGTAATGTCCTCTCTTTGAAACCATGAGCAGAAAAACTTAATGGTGAAATGTTGAGTTTCATTCTAGGAGAGAGCTGAAATGGTGGAGGAGTTCAGGAACCCACTGACGGTAAGTTTGCCAGGAACTCAAGTGTCTGCATCTAGAGACTACAGAACAGCTGCTTTTCAAGTGTCTGTTTTCTTACAGCAAAACCTGTAGCTGAAGATCATTTGAAATGCAAAGTTACATTGCTAATTCTTTGTATCTCAGTTTTATATATTTTATAAGAACCTGGGATAAATTCTAAAATAGTTATAAAGACAGAACTAATACGTTTCATACATGTATTGCTATTTACTTTTTCCTTTGAGGATTTTCTTGAACATTTTCAATGCGGAGCCTGTCAAAAGCACTCTCCTCTCATAGCTTTGGTGTTTCCGAAACGTCTAACCTTGCGATGCCAAGATAAGTTTGAACTTTCAAAAGCAAAGTCATTAGTTTTCGATACAACTCGGTACCTTTTCTTTGAGTCAGTTCAGAAGATAAGGGGAAAAAAAAAAAAAAAAGAAAAACAAAAACCACGGAGCTATTTGTGATCTCACGGATCAGGGCCGGATCATACATGACTGGACTTTATTAAGACAGCGTTAAGTACTGAATGCTAAATGTATTCGCAAAAGGCCTTATTTGTAACCCTACTCACCACGCCCTCGCCCTCCGAGAGAAATAACAAACCCAACAAATCTCTATTTTCCTTGTGCAACTGAGAGCCTGTGCATTTTGCTGCTGATTTCTTCTGAAACCTTGATATGCAAGAGCCCTGCTAACTGGGAGCTGTGGGGAGTGGAGGGATGCGAGGCTTGGACGCGTTTATGCAATAGAAAACGAGGAGGAAGAAGAGCCTTAATAGTAGTCGGACAGATCACGGTCGCGAGCACAGAGGTGGCGTTTCACAGAGGACAGGACTAGACTCGGGTTTCCTTACAATAGGTTTTTTTTTTTTTTCAGCCCACGTGCAAGGCAAAACAGCAGAATTGTTTTAAGCTAATTTAGCAAAAAAAAAAAGCAAAAAAAAAAAGCAGACTGGACAGTTAAAATGCAAGTGGAGTTGCAGAGTGTCAGTTTAAAATGAAAATGTTTTCAGCTTTTGCAGATCTTGAGGTATAGCTTAGGCTCAGCCCTGCAAGCCTGGAGAGAACAGCACAGAAACTGCTTTGCGTTTGATTTAACAGAGGAGAGAAGGAACTCTGAAAAAAAATAGTAATTCTGAAAACCATCCTGCAAGTGCATTTATTCCATGAAAAAATGAAATGCTGATGTTGCCCGGAGTGAGTTCCTCCGGATGAGAGCGGTCCCTAGGTACCCCGCGGGTGCAGCATCCCTCCCTGGCTCTGGCTCCAGGAGGGAGATCCCAAAGATGCTCAGGATTTATTTTGGAGAAGAAGCTGTGCTAGGGCTCCATCCCTGGGTGTCTGGCTTGCCTGCAGCCACCATGCTTTCCCCAGCAGCTGTCTTGTCTATTCATAGGGTCATCAGATATCACAAGCTCCAACCACTTGTCATGTTTTTTCAGCGTTCCTCCCACGTGCTGCAGGATGAGGGGCTGTCAGCTCCCTTCTTTCGGATGTTTGGGCTGCTGCTCCTATGGAGACAGGTCAGGTCCCTTCTTTTTGACCCAGAACCATTGTTGAAAAGCACATTTCGACTGGCCTGCACTGTGCTCGTCACGCGTAATATTATGAATATGGGACTCGTAATACAATACCTTGTACTGAACCAGATAGCAATATTTATTGCATTTCAGAAATGCGCAATAGGGCATGAAGATAAGGCATAAAACATATTGACTAGTTTATTATATGTTGGAAACCTGTGAATAGCCAGCGAGGTGTTTCAGGACAGTGTTAATCACAAATATCAGCTGCCTTGTTGCTCTCTCCTTCGGTCCTTCTGTCTCTCCAGTTTCGCTGCCATCTTCAGTGGTCATCCTGTGTCCTCCCCAAAAATCTCTGACTGGGGAGAAGTTAAAGAGCCTGGATCCCTCAGGGTGTGGCACTGGCCCTTTGCTGTGTCTGAAAAAGTGATTTCTCTGCTGATGGAACCCAAAATTCGGAAATTGCCTTGAGCCAACCATTTGCCCTCCTCCCTTGTGATCTTCATAGAATCACAGAATGGTTTGGGTTGGAAGGGATCTTTAAAGGTCATCTAATCCAACTCCCCTGCAAGAAGCAGGAGCATCTTCAACTCGATCAGGTTGCTCAGAGCCCCATCCAACCTGCCCTTGAATGTTTACAGGGATCTACCACCTCTCTGGGCAACCCATTCCAGTGTTTCACCACCATCATCGTAAAGCATTTCTTCCTTAAGTCCTTCTCTGCAGGGCTGCTCTCAATCCCTCCATCCCCCAGCCTGTATTGATACTGGGGGTTGCCCCAACCCATGTGCAGGAGCTTGCACTTGGCCTTGTTAAACCTCAGGAGGTTCACATGATCCCTCTGGATGGAATCCCATCCTTCAGGTGTGTCAACCACACCACTCAGCTTGGTGTCATCGGCAAACTTGCTGAGGGTGCACTCGATCCCACTATGTCATTGATGAAGATATTAAACAGCACTGGTCCCAGTACAGACCCCTGAGGGACACCGCTCATCACTGATCGCCATCCGGACATCGTGCCGTTGACCACTACTCTCTGTATGTGACCATCCACCCAATTTCTCATCCACTGAACAGCCCATCCATCAAATCCATGTCTCTCCAATTTAGAGAGAAGGATGGTGTGGGGGACTGTGCCAAAGGCCTTACAGAAGATCAGTTAAATGACACCCGTAGCTCTTCCCTTCTCCACTGATGCAGTCACTCTAGCAGAGAAGGCCACTGTGTTGGTCTGGCAAGTCTTGCCCTTGGTGAAGCCATGCTGGCTGTCTCAGATCACCTCCCCCTCTTCCCTGTGCCTAAGCACAGCTTCTAGGAGGATCTGTTCCATGGTCGTCCCAGGCACAGAGGTGAGGCTGGCAGGTCGGTAGTGCCCAGGGTCCTCCTTTCTACCCTACTTCAAAATGGGTGCAATGGTTCCCTTTTTCCTGTCACCGGGGACTCCACCTGGCTGCCATGACTTTTCAGATATCATGCAGTGGCTTGGGAGCCAGTTCCCTCAGGGCTCTGCGATGCATCTCATCCGGTCCCGTAGACTTACGTATGTTCAGGTTCCTCAGGTGGTCTCGAACTTGATCTTACAGCAGGAGTGACTTTGCTCCCCCAGCCCCTGCCTCGTGGTCCATCCACTCGAGAGGTGTGGGAAGGGAGGTTGCCCGTGAAGAATGAGGCAAAAAGGTTGTTGCGTACCTCAGCCTTCTCCTCGTCCGTTGTTCCCGATTTGCTGGTTGTGTTCATCAGGAGGGGTACACTTTGACTTTCCTTTTTGGGCTGACGTACCTGTGGAAGCACTTAGTGTTTTTCTTTGCGTCGCTCGCCAAGTTGAGCTCCAGCCACGCCTTGGCCTCCCTGACCCCATGCCTATGCAATGGGGCAGCGTCCCTGTGCTCCTCCCAGGATACCCGTCCCCGCCTGCACTGCCCGGGCATTTCCTCCTTGCCCTTCAGTTTGACCAGCAAGTCCGACTCAGCCGTGCCGGTCTCATGCCTTCCTTTCCTGATTTCTTACACCCAGGGATCGAGAGCTCTTGCGCTGTATGGAAAACGTCCTTAAAGATCTGCCAGCTCTGTTCTGCTCCCTTGTCCCTGAGGGCAGTTCCCCAGGGGCTCCTCTCGACCAACTCCTTGAGAGCTGGAAGTTTGCTTTCCTAAAATTCCTCTCTGCCTGCCCAGCGCTACCTCAAGGTTTTCATCCCTCCCACCTTCGCCTCATTCCTCGCCAGACGAGCTCGCCTTGTCCACTTGCCCTTCTTCTCAGAATTGGTGAGCTTTTATTTTTCACGGCGCTGCTTCCAGCTGTGGGAGGACCGTTGGTCCCATCCATCCCATGCCCACCATCCACACACCCCGGGGCTCCCCGCATCTCCCCACCTTGGCTCCCATCTTGGCTCATCCTCTTGCCCCATCCCAGTGCCCTTTCAGCCTCCTCTTGCACCTTCTAGCTGGGCTCTTGGCTGTTCACAGTGACGAATCCAACCCACCCAAAAGATATTTATTCTGCAGCATCCCCTAAAACGTCTTTTCTGCTTTATCTCGTTTCACTCCTACTCTGTCAGCGTCCCACTGGGTGCCCTACGAGAGGACCAGTGTCGGTGATGCTGCTCTCCTGAGCTGCGCGGTGCTGGCACTCTGCGGTTTGGGCAACTTACCATAGGCAGTGAAATTAGGAAGCAGAAACCATCCCCTTGCAAAGGAAGGTCATAAAATCCACCCGAGAGCAGACCCACGCTGGGCAGCTCAGCCTGAGCTCCCGGCGCTCGCTCCACGTCCCAGCTGGAGGCAGGAGCTGCCACGAGCAGGGCTGGTGGAGGGGTCTGGTCTCCCCCAGGATGGGGAAAGCGGCCGTGTCCCTGCCGCGACTGCGCCGTGCAGACGATGTCTTGCAGAATGAAACCCTCCCGCGACCTCGCAGCAGCCAGCGCACCCCAACAGCCATAGTTTTGCTGGAGGTACTTGCATATAGAGGTTTTGTAAATATAAAAATATCAGTGATGGGGATTAGAGTAATCGATTTTAAAAAAAAAAATTACCAGGTTTACATCATGCTTTTCATTTTTTAAGCGTGAGAGTTTTGGTTTTTTTAAACCAGCTTGAGAATAACAACTTGCGGACCAGCTTTAGGCAGGCGTTTGGGGCGGAGGAGGTGGGCGCAGCACGCAGGGCTGTCCTTGCTGGCGCTGCGCCGTCCTGCCGAGGCTGGGAAAAGCCCAGGCTGGCTCCAGCCCGGCGGTGGCTCCTTCCCAAAGCCATTGCTGCGTGGCTTGATTTCTTAA